ATCTTTACGATAGTAGAACTTGAGTCTACCGCCTTAACCACTCGGCCACAGAGCCTAATTTCCTGAAATTTGTCGTTTCAAATTGAATCGGATGATGTATTTTTGGAAAAATTCCATCTTGATTTATTTGCCCGGTAAAAGTTCAAAAAGTGAGTTAAGGTTATCAAATTGAAGCTACTGACCCCATAAATAGACTCACCAAGCTTAATATGTCAAAGATGAATTTTTGTAGTGGATAGAAGGTCTTGAAACTTTGCTAAAAAACTGAGATTTGCGACTTTTTTTTTATAGAATTGATGATGGTAGTTTTCAGAAGGAATAAACAGGATGCTTTGATGGTGCCTGGAGATAGCTGGAGTTAGGATTTCAAAGCCAAATGGCAGGGGAATCATGCATATATAATAAGAGTTATGGATAATGAATCTGGGTTGGAAAATAAGTTGGTCTTTACAATCCATTTTAATCAACAATCGCTTACGACTTTCTTGATCATCTATTTGAAAGGCAACCCTACTGCTCAGGAAAGCTTAGTACAAAGGTAATTGATCTAAATACCAACCCCAATAAACCTAAGAGATAGTTCTTGCGCTTCGTTCAAATTATATCCATCTGAGTTTCTTATCGATTGGATTTCGCAACATTTTTTTTTTGCAGCCCAATTGTTAATCCATTTCAACAGGTCTGTTCAAAGTCGATATAAAATTACAATCGAGGTTATTTCAGCATCTATCCACGATTATCTACTGTCTCTTTAATTGAACTTAAAGATATTTAGTATATGACTTAAAATGTCAATGAATAATCGGAAGATATTTCAAAGCCTTGCTACATTTGAATTGAGGTGAAAGTAGAAAGCGGAAGTGACTAGCTAAAACAATCCAATGTCTAACAATTCTTTCCTTTGAAATGACTAGAGTTATTTTAATGACTGAAGAAGCCTCTCAGTCCTCAGAGCCCATTGTTTGTATTGCAACTTAACTATGTAGTCGACATATAGTTGTTCATAGGATTTGCAGCCATTTTTTTCTGGTTTGCAATAACTTAGTTCTTTTTTCATAATTCAATCTGTGGTAAATATATCCCAGTCCAGGAAATGAATAAAACAAGTTCGGGTAATTCTAACCGTTTAACTTCACTTCTCACTTAACAGAAATCTAAACTCCCTTAGAAAAGAAGTAATTGTATCAGGGGGTTCTCTTCCTTGTTGTTAGCAAGATAGCCTTCGGAAGTATCCAAACTCAAAATTATAAATAAATGGTACATAGGACCTACATCCATTATTTCAATTTACTAGCATCTTCAATTGAAATCATTGGAACTTTCAAGGAATGAGCGAATCTAAGCTTGATTCCCTGTCCCCCCCACTCACACAAGATTTACTTCTTTGCATTGTCCTCCTTACAAAGATATATTTGTTATATTTTGACAGAGTTCATACTGGTTTTAACTTTTAGAACCTTATGTACGCATTTGATTCGTTTATATGATTATAATGAACTTATAACTTTTGCATAGAAAAAGACCTGGTTGATTGTTGTTGAAGACAATCTTTTTTTTTTTTGCAGCCAAAATCAATTTTAGAAACTTACATTCATGCAAATACCACACTTTGCCAACTCATTGACCACAGCAAAAGGTTCCTACCTTGGCCTTTGGGTAATATATGGGGCTGTGGAAACCATCGAAGTAAGTTGTCCATAACTGAGCTCAGTATTTCAATATTTTCATAGAAATAGTCTTATGTTGTAAATATTCCCCCGGTTTTTGATGATTTAACACTGGAGAGTTTGCCCGATTATCTCAAGTCTGGGCAACAATAGCTTGAGAAACCAAAGAGACAAGAAATCCAACTCTAGTAATTCCAAAAAGAAAGAGAACGTGCCAGTTCCGTTTATAATTGAGCTACTTTGCTCCTAACAGAGCTAACTAGAATAAGCAATCTTCTACAAACATCGGCTTTATGTGCTTACAACAAGAAATACAAACAATTCCTTCTAATATTCCCTTAGGAACCATAATTTTTATTAAAACTTATTAATTAACTTTATACAATATTCTTATCACAAAGCACACCCTGCCACATCTATTTATGCACTCCCAAGATAATAATCTTTTTGTAAGAACATCCAAATGGTACTAACAGAACTTACAATCAAAGGGCCAGCTAATCCTTTACCCAATTTACAAGTACCATAAATCAACCATTCGCTTCCAAAATGCCAAGCAGCAACCAAGAAAGTAAATTGAACCAATTCATAAACTGGTTTAGTAGTCACATAATAAGCACCATAAAATCTAACAATTGAAGTGATTAATGTCCAAGTACCAAAAGTACGGGCACTTAAATGAGTGACTTGTGGTTTTGTTGGTTGGGATGGCGATGATTCATTTTCATAGACTTTTTTTGTGAGTTCAAGATCTTTGGATTTGTAGGTTTGATATGAGTTGAAGATGGAGACTACTGAGATGAAAAGTAACCAGTATGGAAGCTTTCCTCCTTCAGTGTGAGGTAATAAGGATTGGAAGTATGGAATCATCTTTGGTTTGGAAAGAAGGTAAGAGTCTTGGGTGATCTGATTAAAACGTAAACACAATTAAATTTTTCAAACTTGAGAGCGAGAAAATTAATTCGCCGACCTACAAACAATGAATATTTAACCGGCGCGTGCGATACGAGGAACGAGACGAGAATTTAAGTTGCAAAAAGAATTCTACACACACACATTTCATCTGGAGAAAATAGCCCATTTTACAGGAATAGCTTTGATATCATGTTACCTTTATCATTGTAAGTAAAACTAAAACCGAATTAGAAAAGACTAAAAAACTTCTTACAAATAAAAAAAATAAAAAAGAGAAGAGTGTTCAACTTTGCATCCAACCAGAAAGTCTAATTAACAACAGTAGTGCTTGCATTAGATGAAGCAACAGCAGTAGGATCTTCAGTTTTGGTAGGATCATGTTGTTTTAATACGTCAACAGCTGGACCTAACAATCTTTGGAAACCTGATTTACCCAAAGTAGCAACAATAACATTATCCAAAGCTTCAACAGTAGCTTGTCTTGGTAAATCATTTAATAATGCAACTTCTCCGAAATAATCACCTTTTGATAATGTAGTAATTTCACCCAATTTATCATTATAAACTTTACAACTACCACTTTCTATCAAATAGAAGTTTTCACCTTGTTCACCTTCAACAACAATCTTATCTCCTTTATGATACATTTCGGTATGTAATGCATCAGCTAATTTAGAACGAGCATGATCATCCAAAGATTTCAAGACTTCAATATCTTTCAAGAAATCTTCATACATTAATCTTCTATTGAAAGTACCTTCCAATAAGATACGACGGAAAGTTAAACGATCCAATGCCCAACAAGAAACATCAGTTGCGGCTATTGCGGTAGCTGCTCTTGGAGCATTATACATTAATGCCAATTCACCAAATGAGGAACCTTCACTACTGGTATTAACCTTAGCTTCATTAACATAAAAATCAACAGTACCTTTTTCTATAATATAAAAATAATCCCCTTCATCACCTTGTTTAATAATAACAGTATCCTTTGGGAATTTTCTTGATGATAATGCCGAGATGACTGTTCTTTTAGAAGTTGGATCTAATTGTTTAAAAAGGAAATTTTGTTTTAAATTAGCAGCTAAAGTTTCTTCTTCACTTGATGATAAATTATTAACTGGAGGTTTCCAACTTTCTGATTTTAATTTTGCAGGATTTAAAGCTTCTGCAGATACAGACGTCCTTCTATTGGCATTAAACGCAATAGGGATATTACTTACCAATTGAGCAACATTATGGTGTTGTTGTCGTTGTGATTCTATTGATTGTGGAGCAGAAGGATCAACTTCTTTGATCTTCTGGTCAGTTGGGGATGTATTAACACCAAAATTGCTTTTAAAGAGACCTCCAGCACCACCACCACCTACTTGTCTATCTGATTGTTGACCATTATGATCAACTATAGGTGCATGAGGGTCATGGTCATGTATAGAATGAGGATCATTTAAACCAAATGGAGATTTAAAACTTGGTTGTCTATCATGTATGAAAGCAGCTCCTGCTTGATTGAAGGTCATATTATCAACATTAGGGAATAAATTAATCCCGGCAGCATTTGCTTTTGCTTGTTGAGACCATAATTGATTCCTTTGAGATTGTAATTTAGAATTGAAATAATTGGCACAAAATTGTAAAACATCAGGTGGATTCTTAGAAATCAATTCTTTCTGCAATTGAACCAATTCATCTGTTACAATTTGTTGCTGTGACATGATTGGTATAATTTCTCTTTAATGCTTAGTTAATAGTTAGAAAGAAGTTAATTGAAGAGAGTTGGAAAAAATGTGGGTGGAAATTTGGGTCAGCGAAACTTTTTTTTTCTTTTGGAACTAAAAATTTAAGAATTTGGCTTTCGGTTTTGTAGTTTTTCTGTTTTTGCCGGTACTGCTGTAAATTCTTGTCTTGAAATTTCAGATGGTTAAATGAATAAAATGGAATAGAGATAGATTGTGAGTATTTGATGGTATAAGTCTACTCTTATCTCTTAGGTCTCTTCTTAAAAGGATATAAGTTTGAAATGAGTGAATTTACTAATCAAATTTCAACTGAAATAACGGGGGGCAAGATGGCGTTGAAATGCTTGTTCCATTAGGTGAAAAAAGAAGGGACGGGGTGGGGAATGAAAATTAGAAAATCGATTTATTGAGACACAAAATAAAAAGAATCTCGGAGGTCAAGAATAAGAGACATTTTCTATGAAAGGAGACATTTTTTTGCGCTTGTGTCACATGACCATGACCATAAGTCACATGATAATAGTCACATGACCATGACCCCAAGTCACATGACTTGCATTTTTATGAACACGTCATTACCAAAAGATAAAAAAAAAATCTTTTTTCTGTTGTGTTCTAAATCTTTCTTTTTCCCCTGATGAATGACTTCCTAATTAGGATTGACACAGAAAAGTAAAAATGAATGAGTTGTTCAAAACTTTTTCAACAACACAAATCAGATTTTTCAATCTCATATATAAAGAGACATCACACCCATTGCATTTTTATTTTCTTGAATTTGCATTTGTTTCTTTCTTCTTTCTTCTTTACCAACTTTTCAATTTATTTAAATCAATTCATATTATCCAATTGACTAAAAGGGAATCTTAATACATTTCCAACTCCCCTATAAATATATTCAACAACTAAATCTTTGGTATTTTAATAAAGCGGGTTTTTTTTTTGCAAATTTTAGAATTTTTATACAAACATAGAAAACAACAATAAACGATGTTGAAATCATTCCAATCATCTTGGTTGTCTCGCATTGGTTTACTTTATGTAGCCATTGTCATGTTAATACCTTTATTAGCTTCAAATGGTCGTAATGGTCCATTTGCCGTTGCTGCTGAAACAAATGATTCATCTGCTCATGAAAGTTATGGAACTGTCATTGGTATTGATTTAGGTACCACTTATTCTTGTGTTGGTGTTATGAAAAATGGTAAGGTTGAAATCTTGGCTAATGATCAAGGTAATAGAATTACTCCATCTTATGTCTCATTTAATGCTGACGAAAGATTAGTTGGTGATGCAGCTAAAAATCAAGCTGCATCAAATGTTAATAATACTGTTTTTGATATTAAGAGATTAATTGGTTTAAAATATAATGATGAAACTGTTCAAAAAGAACTTAAACATTTACCATTTACAATTGAAAATCAAAAAAATAAACCAGTTGTTAAAGTTCAATATAGAGGTGAAGATAAAACTTTTTCTGCTGAAGAAATTTCTGGTATGATTTTAGGTAAAATGAAATCAATTGCTGAAGAATATTTAGGTAAAAAAGTTACTCATGCCGTTGTTACTGTTCCAGCTTATTTCAATGATGCTCAAAGACAAGCAACTAAAGATGCTGGTACTATCGCCGGTTTAAATGTTTTAAGAATTGTTAATGAACCAACTGCTGCCGCAATTGCCTATGGATTAGACAAAGATGATAAAGAAAAACACATTATTGTTTATGATTTAGGTGGAGGTACTTTTGATGTTTCTTTATTATCTATTGAAGGTGGTGTTTTTGAAGTTTTAGCTACTGCAGGTGATACTCACTTGGGTGGTGAAGATTTCGATTTCAAATTAGTTAGATATATGGCTAAACAATTCAAGAAGAAGCATGGTATTGATGTTACTTCTAATCCTAAGGCTATTGCCAAATTAAAGAGAGAAGCTGAAAAGGCTAAAAGAACTCTTTCTGCTCAAATTTCTACTAGAGTTGAAATTGATTCATTTGTTGATGGTATTGATTTCTCAGAAACTATTTCTAGAGCTAAATTTGAAGAATTAAACATGGCTGCTTTTAAAAAGACTTTAAAACCTGTTGAACAAGTTTTGAAAGATTCTGGTATTAAGAAATCCGAAATTGATGATATTGTTCTTGTTGGTGGTTCTACTAGAATTCCAAAGGTTCAAGAATTATTAGAAGGTTTCTTTGATGGTAAGAAGGTTTCTAAAGGTATTAACCCAGATGAAGCTGTCGCTTATGGTGCCGCTGTTCAAGCTGGTGTTTTAAGTGGTGAAGAAGGTGTTGATGACATTGTCTTATTAGATGTCAATCCATTAACTTTAGGTATTGAAACTTCTGGTGGTGTTATGACTACTTTAATTAAGAGAAATACCGCTATTCCAACTAAGAAATCTCAAATTTTCTCTACTGCTGCCGATAATCAACCAACTGTCTTGATTCAAGTTTATGAAGGTGAAAGAACAATGGCTAAAGATAACAACAAATTAGGTAAATTCGAATTAACAGGTATTCCACCAGCTCCAAGAGGTGTCCCACAAATTGAAGTTACTTTCTCCTTAGATGCCAATGGTATCTTAAAGGTTGAAGCCACTGATAAGGGTACTGGTAAATCCGAATCTATCACCATCACTAATGACAAGGGTAGATTATCTAAGGATGATATTGATAGAATGGTTGAAGAAGCTGAAAAGTATGCTCAACAAGATCAAGAATTAAAGGAAAAGATTGAAGCTAGAAATTCATTAGAAAACTATGCTCATGTCTTAAGAGGTCAATTAAATGATAAATCTGAAACTGGATTAGGTTCTAAATTATCTGAAGAAGATAAAGAAACTTTAGATGATGCCATTAAGGAAACTTTAGAATTTATTGAAGATAATTATGATACTGCCACTGCTGAAGAATTTGAAGAACAAAAACAAAAATTAATCGATGTTGCCAACCCAATCACTTCTAAATTATATGGTGCTGGTGCCGGTGGTGCTGGTGGTGCTGGAGGTGCCGGTGGTGCCGGTGCTAAATTCGGTGACGATGATTCTGATGATGAATTTGAACACGATGAATTGTAAATCTTGTAATATTTTCTTTCAATATATTTTTAAAGTATTTAAATATGCTAATTTAGAAACTAAATACAATCTGTTTTATTATTATTATTCTTATTTTTGTTATTCTTATTATATTAATTTATTTCTATTTGTATAGTGTCTAGAGATTAATAGAAAACTGTTCTACTCAAGCCTGCCACCTGTTTGTAAAGTTACTTGTACACTCAAATGAAATTTTGCAATTAAATTTCAAGAAAAGCACGTGACCATTTCATAATTACGTAATAACTTTTGTTAGCAAAGAAGTAGATGAAGTTACTTTAAATATTTCTCCAACAAAATCTAACCAGGGGAAAAAATGGAACAGAGTTCAATGACAGAGAAAGAAACAAAGAATGAGAAAACTTAACAAAAAAAATTTTTTTTCTCATTAAATATTTCCTAACAGTATTATATAACTCCTATAGTTAAATACCTTTGTTAAAAAAGAGACTTAAACGATGGCGAATAGGAAGCTACAGAAGTATGTTGAAATATAAAAACTATTGAGAAAGAATCACCGAAAGTTTTCAATGTTAAAGGACTATTCGGAAGTGCAACTTCCGAGGCTCTGGCCCTGGGCAAATTCCGTAATGCATTTGGTGATCTCCAAATTCAGTTTTATTTAATAGGAGATGTAAATACTAACTATATTACTAGGGATATTGAAATAATATTCAAGAAGATTCATGAAGGTTTACATGATTTTAATTATCATTATGACAGATATGAAAGTATAAATACTGATGATGACTCCGATAATCAACGAGAAAAGGAAAAATTAGAAGGGGATTTGAAAAAGGAAATTAAACGATTGCAGAAATTTCGAGAACAGATTAAAAATTGGCAGCTGAATGATGTTATCAAGACATTAGGACCGTCAGGTACTGCTCTTGGAGTAAAACTTAATGATAACAAGAAACTCATCGAAGAAGCCATGGAAACTTATAAGGATGTTGAAAGACTGTCGAAATTGAAAACCTTCTCAAATCAATCGATTATGATGACGTTTTTGGATAGTCAACTCCCGGGTGACGACGATGATGATGATGATACGGATGAGGATTTCTGGGAACGTCTAGAGAGTAGTGATGAAGATGAGGAGGAAGAATTGGAGGATCTTCCGTCGGAGGCTATTGATGCCATCCATTATTTCAAGGACACTATACAACAGATTCGAGAACAAACAACCAAATTGAATCATGAATTTGAAAAACTAGCCCTGAAAAAGTTGAGAAAGAATAATTTGACCACGATTGAAGCCAAAAAAGAAAAGATCAAAGCAACGATATCAACCAATAAGTTTCACTGTAAAAAGATGTTGAAATTGATAAGGCTATTGAAAGCTGGCCAAGTTACTGATTTTAATCTAGTTTGGTTACTAAAAGATGATTTAGATGGATACGTGGAATCAAATGGAGATTCAAACTTTTCAAGTGAAACAACGTTGTATGACGATGTATTCAATCTGATAGTGGCAGCAGTCGAGGAAGATTATTCTGAAATGCATGATTTCCAAGAAGAGAACAATGATGCTTCTGTGACAGAAGAAACTGCCACCCAACTGAATGGAACAATCTCCAATCATGAAACAACCCCTACCACTTCCACTGCCGTCAACGGTAACAATAACCACCATCACCACCAAAAGACTAGCGTGCACTCGAGTCCGACAGCTACTAAAGTTAACGGCCATGGTCACGAAAGTCCCTATCAGCAAAAGCACCATCAGACGCACCAGCGACAACATCGTAGTCCTGAACTAACAAGTCCGGCCATCGTAAGAACATTAAAACCAGCAACGACACCTTCTAAACCTGTTGGCAATTTGAAATGGTCCACAGCTGCCGCTGTAGGTAAACCAGAAAACAAACCTGTTGAGCCCGAACAAAATGGAGCTCATGAGAAGTCTCCTCAACAACAACAACAACAACAACAACAACCAGAATCTGAATCACAAACGGCATCACCAGCAACTACCGTGGCTTCAACGGTAACTCAGGAAAGTGTACCCAAACGACAATCTATTGTTGTTGAAACTGTTGATCTCGATAAATATAAGGAAATTATCAAGAGTTCACCGCTTCTGAAACCAGAAGTCAGTTTGTTTTCGGATATGAGTTTAGTGAGAGTTCCACCTGGGATTCAAGATTTAGTTATTTCGTTTGCTGCAAAGAGGAACAATCAAGATACCACACTTCTAGTGGATTCCAAAGATTTCAATCAATATACAACTCCTATCCACAAGCCATACTTGCCCGATGTTGTTCAACCTATCCAATTTACTCATCCAAGTAGTTTTAAACATCCTACTCAATTGGTCAAGTTTCAAAATTATTGGAATCAAGTAAGGGCAGTTTATGGATTTGATAAGTTATCAAATGATATCAAGGCATTAATAGCACAAGACAAACCGGAGAATGTACCAATCATAGCAGAATTGACTTTTGTTTTCTTTTATGGATTCTATTATGGATTAACTCCAGCAGAAAATTTAATTGCGGAATCATATTTGTATGAATTAGGATGGAAGCCTTATAAGACTCAATTAAATAATAATGCTTCCTCACCACTCCAAATATCTTCACCTAATCAAATGAATGAAGGTTCTAAAGCAAATTATTATTTCTATTGGTTTAAGAGAACAAAGTTAATTTCCCAACCTGATGAAGTTACTGAATTTGGTGATTATCAAGTATTTGATTTGAACTTTTGGGAAATTTTTATGAGATATGGATTTAAGTTTGACTATAGCCTATGTCAATTGAATCCATCCACGAGTATTTTTTAAGTCTTTTGTGTTTTTATTAAACATGCAATTCCTTCTCAATGTATTTTGCATGTGTCTGTGTATTGTGTGTGTAGTTTGTATGATTGGTTTTTTTTCCAAAAGGTTGTCTCTCAATCCAACCAAAACTCTGATTCTAGGATGTCGTCATGAGATAATATATGTTGCGTTGTTTGCCATGTTGAATTTATTACTTGTTCTTCTTCTTCTAATACTTCACTCCATAATTCGTCATTATCTTCACTAAGCATTTCTGATTCTAAAAGGGTATGAACAGCATCATCATCGTTTGAATGAATTATTTTTCTTGGACTAGATTGTAGCATATCATGTTGTTCAGTTCTTTTGAACTCAAAAATCTCATCACCATCGCAAGTAAATATCGTTGGCATTGTTTTGAATAGCATTGAGTTTGGCATTAGGGACACATCAATGAATTGTTCCATGTTTGGAAAATCAATGCCAAATTCTTTTAACTTGTTTGGTTTTATGTTTGCTTCATCAATTATTTGTTTGAGACTTTTCATTGGGGTGATTCCAGGAGTCTTTTACTTATCA